TGTCCCGCCCAAACTAAGACGTTATCATCTGTAGAACAAACTGCGTTTTGTAGGCAGTAGTATAATAAATTTATTTAAGAGTTTAAAAAGAAGGGAGCTGTGAATATATTTTTGTTTTAGCGCAAAGCTACACAATTTCCTGTCTTCACTCTGTCTACCGCGGCGAATCGAACCTAGAATTTTAGCGTTGTAAGTCCGTAAACTTACCGCTGACCGATCGGTGGACAGGTTATGAAGAAGTAAACAAGTTATCATTTTCAAGGCCGATAGTTTTTAATAAACATATCTCAAATCGTTAGACTGAAATATTTCGGTTTATATTTTTAATAATGTCTGGATATAATTTTGTGTAACTTAACGTCTGGTCGTAAAAGGACGATTTGTATTTATTTTTTAATAAGTTTGCTGCTTTCAGTGTCTGGTTTGCATTGTTACCTCGCAGAGTTGGAAAATGGCCATCAAAAATTAATACCTATGGTACAAGATGTTTTACAGATTAAATTATTTTAGGCTAATGTAAATAACTAGATATGAACCGAGAGTTCTCCGTGTGAGTTTACCAGACAAGACACTTGACTTGAGCTCTTTAACCATAGAATTACCGATGAAATTCGTATCCCATCGATATTTTTAAACCATTATCCCAAGTTAATTATGTATAATATGACTTGTGGGTCCAGCTGTAGTACATTGTTCATACGTTTGTGGAATTAATGTTTATTTTGTGCAGTATCGGAAACCGACTGTGTAGTAATATAGAGTTGGCCTTCAATATTCAGGGTTACAAAAAATTTAAACATAAATACAATCAATATTTCAATAAATTCTAGTAATAACTGCCGTGATCGTCTGTGTATTTTGCACAGAAAATGAGAAGGTTCACCTTTATTTCTGGCCTGAGTGTTATAAGAGAAGCATAAGGTTACTTGATATGCTTCTTCTTTTTCGGCTTCTTACAACCTCAATCCCATTCTGTCCCCCGGTGGGCCAGCGGTAAGTCTTCGGATTTACAACGTTATAATCAGGGGTTCGATTCCCCTCGGTGTACACAGCAGATAGGCAGATGTGGCTTTGCTATAAGAAAACACACACACACACACACTCCCATTCTGATTACGAGGCAGCCGCTCGGGGGTCTTCCCTCTTCATAGATTGTGGGCATTTGCATCATTTCTAGTTATCCCCCACCCCACCTTTCCATATCCCTGTCTACCACGTCTCTCCACTATATTCTCTGTCTTCCTCGTATCTCTAATGGCATTTTCAATGCTCTTCTCACTACACATCCTTCTTCACTTCTTATTACATGTTCTAACCATCTCAATCTTGTTTCTTTTACTTTTTACTGTGATCTTAAAGGCTTCAACTCTTTTTTTTTATGCCATCACTCATTATTCTTTCTCTCAAAGATATCCCCAGCATCCATCTTAACATTCTCATCTCAGTTCATTATTAAATACCCTACTCCTTATTAAAATTACTTAGTATATTTGAACGGCATAAAAACAAATAACCAATTTCGATGTTAATGAAGCCGATTTATCGCCATATTTCTTTTGCATGGCAGTAATATTTGTGCGTTTATTTGAAGTTAAGTTTACTTGAGATGGTCTTGAAGAATAAAATTTAATATTTTCATGCTACTAATCAATTTGACGTCTACCATGTTTGTTATTGGTAGATTTCAATGTACTTCGCAGATCACAGACCTTTAGTGGATTGTATTTTATTGGTAAAGTTATCGTGTAAACTGCTTAATTATACCCTTACCGGAAGGTGGCTTCAAACTTGAGATGCTTTTGTTAATATCATGCATTACTTAAAAAGTTTTATTAGATTAAACAATGAAAGAAGTACCAGATTATAAAACGATTAGGAAAATCTACAACTTTTTCTTGGTGTAATAGTCATACTAACGTTGGAGAGTTGGATTATTAATCTGTTAATAGCCTGGTGGTTAAGGCGCTCGATTTGCGATCTGAGGGTCTCGGGATCGAAACCCGTCTCCCAACGCACTTGTCTTTGAAGCCAAAGGGACGTTATAATATCAAGGTCAATCCCACTATTTGTTGATAAAGAGTAGTGTAAGAGTTGGCATTGGGTGGGTGGTGTTAAATAGCTGCCTTTCCTCTAATCTGTCACTTTAAAATTGCATCGCCGTACAAACGCTCATTTAATGCTCACTTTTATCGTCTTATGTAGTATTTAAAATAATGTTTCATAAGTTTACCCTGCTCTCATCATCCGACACAGATCTACTGACCAAAAATTTTTCAATTCTATTTTATTTACAATTTGTGTTACTCATCGTGTTAAGTAAGCCAAGAATTTTGAAGGTAGAAAAAAACAGATACCTTGTAAAAATGCCAAATTGTGCCCTATACGTTAAGTGTTGTTTTTTATTTATTGTTAACATTGGGCTTTCGCCATCTAGTAGTAAACTTTTAAAGCAAATTATTGATTGAAAGAAGTTACTAATACATAGGTGATAAAAAAAATCATTTGCTTTTATAATTTTTTCCAATGGCTAAATTTAAACAAAACTCTCACGAAAGTTTAGTGAAATACTTTATTTATCAGTTACTCAAAATATATATTCTGAACTATTGATATCTTGTGCTAATATTTGGTTTTACTGATTGATTGGTTCCCCAGTGGGATAGCGGATTTACAACGCTGAAATCAGGGGTTCAATTCCTCTCGGTGGGCACAGCAGATAGCCCGATGTGGCTTTGCTATAACAAAACACAAAGGACTGATTGTTGTTAATACAAATCTACACAATGAGCTGTCTGTGCTTTGCCCGCTATAGATACATAAAACGATTTTTAACATTATAATATTTCAGACTTCCCGCTGAGTCAACAGAGGGCGCCAATATTTAAAAATTTAGTGATTTACAAACATATAAATAAATCGCCAACATTATTTCTGGTGGCGATTAATAGATGGATGGATAACTTAGACAGAACTACTTAATACTAGTAGTTCACAGTCATAAATCTGTAAAAATTATAGACAAAAACACGTTTTATCATCATTATTATAAATAGAATATTTTGAGAACTTAATATCATACAGTCACATAGGTTCACATTTTTAAAACAGTATTTGAGCTTAGAATCTGAAGCTCTTTTTTTATATATGCCTCTTCATGAAGAATAAAAAACAAAAGGGAATTCTCAATAACCAAGTCACTTGAAATTCTTTTAGGAAGAACTAGAGTAAATTTATCTGTGAGGCCTTTTTCACCCCTTTTTTTTATTAGTTATATTTGTGTGCGCCAGCAATACCAAGCATGGGGCGTGGTATACCCAATTCGATTTCATTACTTATCAGGAGCTCTACCAGCCTACCCTCAAATTGAAATTCTTTTAGGCAGGATAAGAGTAAATTAATCTATGATACTTTGGGCATGGTCAAGTACATCAATGAAATGGGTTTGACCTCCTGAGTTCAAAACTGTAATTACATCTCAACTCGGTCAAGAGTTAATGAGCTAATAGTTTGTACTTGAAAAAACTTGGAGCCATTCTATGAGCCGCTATGCTGCAGCTAAAAAATCTGTTATTTATTTTATATAGATACTAGTCCAAGACTGCATTGATTTCTGTGTGAAATGATTTTCTATTGGAATAATCCGGTACATAGAATCTAAGTAGTTTAATAATAATAAGAAAAAGGTTTATCACCAAACTTTTGATCACAGCTACAACTGCTCTAATATACCAAACATAATAATCCAGAAATTGACTTGTAAAGAAGATATAAATATAGAAAATCACTTGTAACACATCTTTTTATTCATTTTTTTTCTACTTACTTGAGGCTTTTTCCAAAATGGACCTTCAAAATGTTTGCTTAATTTTTTCCCATTGTATTTTAAAATAACTTATGCTAGTTTCACCCATCAATCTAGGACTTTTAAATGACCCTATTCTTGTCAATATAAACACTTTTTTCACACCTTTTAGAAATAGTGTATTGTTTATGCTATTTCTTTTCATTTTTCTACATTTTCACTGATTTGAGTTTCCTCAATATTGCACCAGATTTGAGAAATCATAGTATGAACAAAACCACGAATTATCATAAAATAATCTGAATACTAACTTCTGGAAAATTAGTAGGAAATACAGTGTAAAACAAAATTTTCTTTTTGTATATTGGTTCCTGTCATGAAAAATAGTTTAATGCTAATTCTCAAAATTATTTATAAATTTATAACTATTTTTAAGCAAACCTGCTAATAAAATGCTTCAACAATAATTAATAGAGTACTGTTTTCAATGTAAAAATGAATAATTTCTTTTGAATAAATGTTATCTTTTTAATTCATTGCATTATTTTAGATATAGAATAACCAGTATTTATATTTACATTTTTCCTTACTTTAATTGAAAAAAAAAACTGTTCTTGCAAGTGCTTCTTTTATTAATGTTTAGGAAAGCAAATCTATTTTGAAGATGTAACACTTCTTTCTTCCTGACACGTTGTCTTCTGGTAGGTCAGCAGTAAGTTTATGAGCTTATAATTCTAAAATATGTTGCTCGATTCCCTGTGGTGGACAGAGTGAAATAGCTTTGTGTAGCTTTGCACAAAAAACATCTTTCCACTATAAGTGTTTTAGTCATGTGATAAAGTTTTTTTAGAATTAAAACTGTAGAATTATTTGTTCACCTTCAAGCATATGTATGTTTCGTCATTCAACTTTTTTTCACCAGAAAATGTTACATTTCAGCTTCTTTTATTCTTTAAACTTTTTCTTACGACATTTTGATTAAACTTTTTCTTCTACAATGTTCATATAAAAATCTGAAGATGTTAGATGAAATGTTGCTGAGATATAAAAAATATTACTGCATTTTCTTATAAGATAGCATCTGGAAATTAATCCATTTGGCAATGTTAGTAACTAAGAGAACTAGTTGATATAAAACAGTCATACTTATTGATTGTGAGGGTTTCTCCTTATCATATAATTCACTTTTTACTTTCAGTGTTATTAAAATGTTTGCTCAACACAAGGATGATAAGAAGAGGGTGGAGAAGGGCTTGGAGCTTACAGGTCTACCCACTGGAAAGGTAAGCCTGTTTGTGACAAGCTTTAGAATACTGGTATAGCTAACAGTAATGTAAATTCAACCTGATTGTGCTCAATTGGAAAATTGATCAGAACAGGGCTTTGTTTAGAGCTACATACAATTGGATAGTTTTTCTGTTGATTTCTAAGCTAAAAGTTAATGTACCATTTTATATAACCTCCAATATTGAAACAGAATATTTGAATTTTCATTAATGTTATTACTCCATCCAGTGTGTTAATACTGACATTGCTGTTAAGATGTTAGTTGGAGAAAAAAAACCTTTTTTCAGTAGTTGATTTGGTTCTCTTGATCCTTAAGTTTTTAATTAATAAATCGTCAGAGTCTGTAGCATGTTAATTATAGCTTATGATTAAATTTTATAATCATACTATTTTCTCTGTTTTTAAGAAGATTAAGTATTTTAACATAGACTTCAGATCAGTGCAAGCTAGCTACTTTTTGTTTTTTATTACTCATAAGATAGATGAACTGCATAAACAGTAACCTTGTTAGATTCGGGAAAGAAAAGCAAGCAAAGTGGTATTGCTGTTGTTGTCACTCTGTCACTGTTATTGTTGAAAATCTTAGATATTAGAAGGACCTATATATATACATCACCTGAAAACTGCACATGTACAATCAGTGGTTTTTAAAGGTATTCCAAAAATAACAGTGATGATAATTGTTTTGTCTATAAGTATTTTAATTAGAATATGTTGTTTATTATGTGAGTGATTATGGTATAAAATAATTCTTCATTTCTTTGTACTTAAAAAACATTGCTTTTATATAAATGTTAAAACATACACACAAGTCTGTGTACATGAAATATTCTATCATACTAAAGCAGTATCCAAGTTTGTACTTCGTTTGTTTCTTATATACATTCTGAATACAGTATACAAGTTTTTACTTGGTCAAAACTTGTATACTGTATTCAAAATGTATATTAGAAACAAACCAAGTAAAAACTTGTATACTGTATTCAGCATGTATATTAGAAACAAACCAAGTAAAAACTTGTATACTGTATTCAGCATGTATATAAGAAACAAACCAAGTAAACTCTTGTATACTGTATTCAGCATCTTGTATACTGTATTTAAAAAGTATTCAGCATGTATATTAGAAACAAACCAAGAGTATACAAGTTTTTACTTGGGTTGTTTCTTATATACATGCTAAACACGGTATACAAGTTGTTTTAATAAAATGAAATGCATATGTTCTCTTTATCAGCATTCCAACTCTCCACGGATTACTTTTGAAGAAATTCACATGCAACGTATACAGTATGAAAATTTAAATTGTTTATTTGCCATACTAGTAGAAAGAGAAGATTATTGCACTTGTGTACTTGAGAATGGTCGCACCAGTGATTGAAACATCGTACCTGTTTTAATGAATAATCTTCCTTACTGTAAAAGCTGTAATTTGTAATAAAATATATATTTTACTTAGTTTGTTTTTAATGTGATACATAAATACAGTATATACGTTTTATGAGTAAGCCAATACAGAATATTAATGCTGGCTTAGGAATTACATGGTTAATTCTGGGTGATTGTGAACAGTGAGTTATCAGGCCCCAGTATTCAGAATAGTAATGATAACTCTGGGTCTGATACTGGCAGTGTTGTTCTAGTTCTGATGATCATAACCATGCTTCATGCTCATAACCATTCTCATCCTCATGATTTAAACAAATCAGTGTTTATAATATGTTTACATAGGAACTGTTCAACGTGTGACAGCAAAGTTTTAACAATACATTCACTAGCTGTATTACAAACAAAATGTTTACTGTACTGAACAATGATCTTCAGGGTTTACACTGTGGAACTGAACATGTGTTATATTTAGTTAGCTGCAGGATTGTGAGTTTCAATATGTAGGTGAGACTTCGCAATTTTTGAGAGGCAGAATTAATGGCCACAGATCTAGAAAAGAAATGCTTAAGTTCCCTCTATCACATGGGTTCGAATCCTTGCCCCACCAAACATGCTCACCCTTTCAGCCATAGGGGCATAATAATGCTATGGTCAATCCCACTATTCTTTGGTAAAAGAGTAGCCTTAAAAATTGGTGGTGGGTTGTAATGATTATCTGCCTTCCCTTCTTTTTCTGCTAAATTAGGGATGGCTAGTGCAAATAGCCCTCATGTAGCTTTGTGCGAAATTCAAAACAAAATAAACCCTCTACTCTCCAGGACGTACTTTTGAAGATTTTCACATGCAACACATACAGTGTGAAAATTTTAATTGTTTACATGCCATACTAGTGAAAAAGTGAGGACTGTTGGATGAAAACCGTATGGGCTTAACAACCGAGTAAGGCAATGTTTCTCAAGGCTACCAATTTTTAAATAATCCATTTTCTTATACATTGACCACATAGTCATGAGTGCAAACACAAAACAAACAGTGCTAAAACACATTATAGTTTATTATAAACCCTACTGGAAGTTTATCAAACAAAAGGTCTCAGAATTTTGTATGTTACCTTGCAATAGCTTTCAGTTAATAAATGTATCTTTGTTTAATCAAACATAAATACATGTGTCATCAAGTCTAAGCAATGTAGACTAGCTATTATTTGCTATTTGTCATCACTTAAACCTAAAACAACAACTAATGAACATAAGGATAAGGTTTACCTTATAGTTCCATTTATTGACAGAAGTTCAGAACTAACTAAATTAGAGTCTGTAGTCAATGACACTTCTATACAACATTTATTACTTAACACTTATAACATTAAATACTCAAATATAAGCTATTCATGCAAGAAGACTATTAGCAGTAGAATCTTTAACTATAATTGAGTGTTAGGTAATGTAATCACTGAAGAGTTACACAACATTTCATCCTCTAAATCTGAATGTAATTCATTCCTTTATGTTTATTCTCCCATTGACCACAAGCTCACCAGCAGCTTTGATATCCTGCCTAACAAAGATTTATGACCACTAATGAACGATATACTGGGAATTCCAGTTGAAGATTACTTAAGCCTGGAAGTAGCATATTTGTATTTATTTGGACTAGAATTTTCCAACATTATAAACCTTACAAAAAAGACTATAGTAAAGCTTTAAACATCAATCTCACTGGCAGACATGTACATTATATTCTTATTCTGAATTATCAAGGTTTTTTTCTTAGACACACCCTTATATATTTATCTTCCAAGCTCACTCTTGAAAAAAAACTTTTCTGCTAACAACAAAGCAACTTATCTGGAATTAGATAGCAGCATCATTAACTGACCATTTAATTCTGTTAGATATTCAACAATATTCTTGCTTTAGATTATGGACTTAGATATTTTACATAGTATTACGACATTTACAAACTTTCATGTCTACACTTTAATTTTAGGGTAATAGTAAAGAGCTTTAGTGTATTGACTACCATTGGTTTTATCCCTCATAAGTTTAAATTATTATTATATATAGTTAATATTAATATATTACAGTTCCATTTATAGTATGACTACATCATTAGTTACATTAGATTTTATGATCACATTTATTATTATTTTCATAGAACTTTCATCCTTCTAAAGGGTTATTGTGTTTCATTTTCAGCTTTTACAGGCAATTTCATGTTATTTATTACTTTGTGTAGCCAGATCTATGCATTTGTTATAACAAATACTTAAATAAGATGGGTGGTAAAAGCTTTTAGACTGAAACACACAACATATTAAGTTTAGTGTGATGTTTTCTTTTTATTACATTTAATATTGTTATCTTATCTTCATCGATTCGGGTATTATTTTACTTTTAATTTGTTATTTTGTATCTTCATAAACATTAAATTTTGATTGTACTGTGGAAAAGTTGCTGCTACTGACTCAACAAGGTTTAAACTATATAATATGTCTTAAATTGTCAGAGGTGACTTGCCTCTGACATCATGTAGTAGGGGTAACTTGAATTTTTTTTTATCAAGAGACGTGCTAGGGAGAGTAATGTTGCAATTTCTAAATAAATCTATTTCTACGTAGATGGTTAAAGACAGCAGCTGGTAGTTGTGTATTCTCTAAGCAAGGTACACTATGTAGTTTATTTTCACTTTCATTAAGACTACTGGTTATATTACTTAGTGTATCCAATGTCGTTACATTTTATCATGATTTATTGTTTATTAATATACTTTTCTTATAAAGATTGTTTTGCATTGTTAGCTTAGAATTTGTATTTAGGACTAATATAAATCTTCTAAGCTGTCAGGATCTTGTGATACATTATTGGAATTATAGCTGGTAATATTGTTAACAGTGAAGGTATCCAGCTGATTAAACAGTGCATTCTAATCATTATAAGTAGAAACATAAGAAAAGTATATTTAATTAGCTATACTGATGGCCAGGTTTATTTATAGTTTCACTTTAATTACATAGCCTACTCTGATCAGAAATTATTATTATATACCAAAAGTTGATTCAAAGATTTATTTTTTCAGAATGACTGCATTTCTCCAGAAAAGTTTTCGTTTGATTGTTTCCTTACATTTTATCGCCATCTAGTGGGAAGAACTGAGGTGGATTCAATTTTTGAAAAGCTGTAAGTAGGAGTTTTAATAAAAATAATTATTAAAACAGTTCTAATTTTTGCATTATCGTGTATCTTGAATATATGTTAGTGTCATACGTATCAAAGTACTGTAGTTCCACAGTGATACTGCACTCAAGCCAAACTGTACACTAATAATTAACTAGGTAAAATTTCTGCTGATCAAATATTATATCCACCAGTGGGTCAGCAGTGAGTCTATGACTTATAACACTAAAAGCTGGGGTTTGATTCTGTATGGTGGACAGAATGAAGATAGCTTATTGTGTAGCTTTGTGCTGAAAACATACAAACAAGAAATATACACTAACAATTACCTAGATAAAAAAAAATCTGTTTATTAAATATTAAAGTGGAGAAATGTCAAAATATTTGACTGATATACATAAAATTCTAATGTTGATTAATGTCTGTTCAACAGTGCTATTAGTAATTTTTGAACAGATTAACCCAACAAAGTAGTTGGTAGACAAATGAGTGGTCTATAAATATAATTATATGGATGTGCTGAAGAAGTAAGGTCAAAAATTGCACAAGATTATACCACTATATTATAATTAACTGCTATTTCACAGAGACCAGTTTGTTTTAGATTCATCTTGTATAATGACACCAAATGGTTTATAGAAATGAAAGCCAGTGTAGTAAATTTAAGTGTATTTTTAATGTCCTTTTTTCCAGTTGTGGAGGGAACAAGAAGAAAGGAATGACAGTAGATCAGTTGGTTGATTTCTTCAACAAAGAACAAAGAGATCCAAGACTTAATGAGATCTTATATCCTTATGCTACACCAGCTAGAGCTAAGGATATTATCAAGCAGTATGAACCAAATAAAACCTATGCTCAGAAAGGTACGTCAGAAAAATGCATTATGAATATTAAGTGTGAAAAATGTTCACTGGATCTCAGTTAACCACAGATTTATCAGTGTGCAGACACTACATGCTTTGAATAATTCCAAACATGATTTACGTTTTTACATACTGAAATAATCCTGAAAGGTAGGTGAACAGATGAGGACAGATACAAAAACTTGTGGAAAAATACAAACATAAGTATAGAGAATCCTATGTAACTTAATTATGATTTTATTAACACAAAAAAATCACCCTTTGTTAAAGCAGATATGATGAGTAGGTATGTCAGATTATGAATACAAAGAACTAATGTTATGCATATCATTCAACAGTTTAAGTTTGAACACCTGTGCTCTATTAGAAATCTTGTCGATCACACTGCTTTAAATGTTTGGATCGTTCCTCTTCTCACACTTGGAGAACCAACTTTCCTTTTAGTTATTATAAGCAAGGTAATAACCACATAAAGAACCAACTTCCTTCAAACTTAATTCATAAACCACGTAATAGCCAGACAAAAAGGCAACTTCCTTTATAGGGAACATTATAATCAAGGTAATAAACACACTGAAAAACAGAGAAACAATGTCCATTGTAATTCACAATATAAGCAAGGTAACAGCTAATCAGAGAACCAACTTCTTTTGTAATTAACTATATAAACAAAGTAATAGCCACATAGAAAAACAATGTCTCTTGCAGTTAACATTATAATTAAGGTAACAGCTAATCAGAGAATCAACTTCTTTTGTAATTAACTATATAAACAAAGTAATAGCCACACAGAAAAACAATGTATCTTGCAGTTAACATTATAATTAAGGTAACAGCTAAACAGAGAACCAACTTCTTTCGTAGCTAACTTTATAAATAAGGTAACAACCACACAAAGAAACAATTTTCATTGTAGTTAACATTATAACAAGGTAACAGCTAAATATGGAATGAACTTCCTTTGTAATTAACTATATAAACAAGGTAACAGCTAAACATAGAATCATCTTTGTAGTTAACTTTATAAACAAAGTAACCAACTTCCTGTATAGCTAACATTATAAACAAGACAACAGCTAGACAGATGAAACAACTTCCCTTATAGCTAACATTAAAGACAAGACAACAGCTAGACAGATGAAACAACTTCCCTTATAGCTAACATTAAACACA